TTTCTGTCTTTCTCTTATTTTGTCTTTGCCTGTACTTTTTATACTTTGCATTTTGCGAAACACAAAGAAAAACATCTAAAATGGATGCGAATTTGCAAGCTTTTGAGTTGTTTTTATTTTCCGCGCTCGGGCTGACGTAGATGACCGGAAGTGAAATTTCACCTCCTTAGCAACGCGCGCGAGCGCGCGCATGAATCGGTTAATGGGCCCTTAAAGGGGCTCAAAGATCCCGAGACCGTAAACGCGACAGTGACACAACGCTAAACGCGCGAGGATGCAATAGAACAAGACTACATGATATAGGAGACAATCTCCAATCTACGCACCGTCCACGTAGAGGATTTCCACGCGTGAGAAACACGCGAGGAGATCCGAGGAAGGGCCAAAACTGGCACCTGTTAAGGATCTTAAAGATCCTTAGACCGAAAACGTAATTGTCGCACTTCGCCATACGCGCAAAGATGCAACGGAACAAGACTACATGATATAGGTGACAATCTGCAATCCACGCACTGTCCACGTAAAGATTTTTCTACGTCTGAGAAACAGGTAAAGAGATCCAAGGGAGGGCCAAATCTTGCAGGATTTAAGGATCCCAAAGATCCCGACACCGAAAACGCGACTGTGGTACATCATTAAACGCGCGAGGATGCAAAGGAACGCGAGGAGATCCGAGGGAGGACCAAATCTGGCACCTGTTAAGGAGTTCAAAAATTGCGAGACCGAAAACGCGGATGTGGCACATCGCTAAACCCGCGAGGATCCAAAGGAACAAGACTACATGACATAGGTGACAATCTCCAGTCCATGCACTGTCCGCGTAGAGATATTTCCACGTGTAAGAAGCCCGCGAAGAGATCTGAGGGATAGCGAAAACTACACCTGTTAAGGATCTCAAGGATTCTGAGACCGAAAACCCGACTACGGCACATCTCTAAAAGCGCGAGGATGCAAAGGAAGAAAAAGAATTGATATAGGCCATATCGAATTGGATGCTTTAGAAAGCACCTTAAACAATTGGAAGAGACTGAAACTAACCCTATGAGGCAAGATCAACATTGTTAAATCTGTCGACTTTTAAAAGCTTATTTACAATGCATTAGTACTGTCAGTTCCTGAAAAGTTCTGTGATCAGGTAGACAAATCACCGTTAATTTTATCTGGGACAAAAAAATAGCCAAAATTAAAAAATAAACAAACAAACAAACAAACGCATACGAACGCAGAAACGGAGATGTGAACATAATTGATTTTATAGTTATAGATGTCCAGCAGTAGCTACTAAACGTAGACATGATGTGATAGATACGAATGCAGCCATAACACTACTGGAAAAAAGACCTGATTGATTTTATGTTAATGAACAAAGCCCCAAAGTCCTGTATAAAGCGATTTCATCTGAGCGAGAATTCAGCATGGACGGTTATTCTCAGTGAAGCTACAAATGTTTCACTTAGGACACTTAACCTTGCTGTCAACCTGTAACTGTAACAGTAATGATCTTAACAACAAAGAACTTCCACTCCTTTACGGGAGACTGCTTCAATACTGGTTTGAGTTTAAGGATGGACAGATTAAAATTGATAACAAGACTAGATCAGCATTTTTTGTTGCCAAAATGTTTCGTGATTTATCGCCCAACTGTTCTTAACTTTTTTAGCAAGTAAAGTTTTAAAACTTTTTAACTTTTACTTCTGAAATTGTGTATCAAACAACGATTTTCAAATTGACTTGTTTTGCTTTCGAGGTGCGTCAGAAATTTGAAGTCGTTTCACGTGAACAGAAATCGTTACCGAACCCGTCAGACACACAGTAGAGATATAATAAATATCTTACTAACCTCGTTTTCTCGGTCCGTACAGTAAGTTACGGATCTTCGATTTATGTCCCGCGCGCTTAGCGCTTGGGCCATAAATCAATGGGGAAAAATATCGGTCCGTAACTTACAGTAAGGTCCTCGAACTCAGTTAGTAAGAGGCAATATGCCATGACATCGAGTGTCTGTTATTTTTCTGCTCAGCCTTTCCACTCAGTCAGTTTAAGAGTGTATCATTACTGATTTGATTTATTAATTTGATTTTTTTTTTTCATTTATTTTATTGGTGATTTTGTCAGGAAATGGTATTCCCTCAGAGTAGACTCTATTCAGGCATTTGGTACAGTTCAGGTAGCATTAGAGGCACTGGTGGCTGGGAAAGGTAAGGGACAAAAATTCAGTGTTAAAACTGCGAAGAATTATAAAGCAGCAATGAGAACAAGAGCTTTTAAAAGCTCTGCAAGTCATTTTGGTGTACATGTATCGATATGTATCTCTTAGCCATTCCACGCAAAACAACTTTGTGAAATGGCTAAGTCAAAGACGAACGTTTTGTCACATGGCACTGTTGCAGCTTTCTGAGCTCTGTTGTTTTATCTCGAGTCCTTTGTAAGCTGTCCTGTGTCAACCGAGATATACATGTCTGATAGAGAAAATGATCGACAAAAACAGCAGCATATAAGGCCCGGGGGGTACTCCCAGAAAAGTTGGGTGGGGGTCCCAAAACTGTTACCCTATTTATGACCAAAAACTACGATTTTTGCTACCCTATTTATGACTTAACCAAAAATTTGAAACCCTTTTTATGACCGTTGCGGCTGATACAATTGCCCTAAACATAGCTTTTTTCTTGATGGTCTTATGAAAAGTAGCTTTTTTTAAGAAACATACCCAGTTCAAGAATAGAGTGCAAAAACCATACCCTATTTACGACCAAAATGGCCAAAATCGATGCCCTGTTTATGACCAAAACGGCTGAAAAACCGTACTCTTTGGGGCAGCACCTACCTATATGGCCCATATAAGGGAGAACCCCCCTCCCTCTCCGGTACTGATCTAAGGTATGTTGGTGCAGTCAGTGTAAAATGCAGACTGCAGACTGCGGACTGCAGACTGAGGTAAAATGCACACTGCAGACCAGGGGTAAAATGCAGACGACAGGCTTAAGACTTTTTTCAGTACGTGTTATTTCTATTAGCGAGTGCTAACTAATGTTATTCAGGCTGATTGCAGTGAAAGTCTGCACTCTGGTTAGTCTGAATATCACTGGCTGGTTAGCCCAAATAATGTTCCAGTTAGCCTGTTTACAGCTAGTTCTCTATAATGGAAACGGTAACACAATTTAGTTAACAAGTCTACAGTCTGCAATCTGCATTTTATCCTTGATCTGCAGTGTGCTTGTTACCCTCAGTCTGCATTCAACCCCAGGTCTGCAGTCAGCAGTCCGTAGTCTTTGTTTTACACTGACCCCATGTCGGTGTGATTAACTGAATAAGAATTTACAAGCAACAGTTTCTGTATTCTGGTTGGCTGAGCTAAGAACACGGCAATTAATCCCAAATCAGCGCAATTTCATCAGTGCAGAAAAATGAAATTGAGTGCAAAATAGTGAATGGAAAATGATTAACAGTTCCGACAAAATTTGAGCTCGGATAGACAAAGTGGCGGACAAAAATTATACGAAGATTGAAACTCTTTATCAAAATTTTGATACACAGACTTCATAACAAAGCAAAGTACAAAGCTCAGTCAGCAAACATTACTAAACTGGTTATCGCGAAGTGTGTAAGATAAGAAATAAACACAAACTGCTGTGAGGAAATAAAACATAAACTACCTCGAAGTGCATGAGTTACAGTGGCGGATCTAGGAGAGGAGCCCGGGCGGCCCGCCCCCTCCCCCTTATTTTGGGTAAAAAAGAAGAAATCACAGAAGGAAGAAAAGCCGGTAGGGCAAGCAAAACAAAACCGCTACGCGTACTTTGTACTTCATGCGCGCGCTTTGTGTGCGTGCGTACGCGTACAGTTTCTTGTATGTCGTGGCTCAATCATTCCACCTACCGAAGAAAGGCTAACCCCGAAACGTTTAGATTACCAGCGAATATTTGACACTTTTAAGAACCTTTTCAGCCTTACATTCAATCGAGGATAGGTTAGCTTTGGGCCGTATTTAAATCTTATTTCATAATTTTTAGTGTCAATTTTAGTAGCATAATATGTGCTATACACAGTTTAGCATATATTTGTATTCTGTGGGTTTGGAATCCCTACATGGGCAGGTAATCATGTAGTCCCTTGGGTTTTTCGTGGTAGGTGTATTTAAGCGAGTGTTTAGTATGGGGTTCATTCTCTCGGTCTGTTACCAGCGCTGTTTCATTTTGTTTTCTCTTCTATTCTGTGATGTTTCAAGACAAGCCGATTTCTAGCAGAGTCGGACCTGAAGTTGAAGAGGCGATTAAGCAAGCGTTTTCAAATTTATCTGCCGATCTAACTGCGGTTATCGAGTCTAGGCTTTCGGATTTTAAGCGGGATTTGGTCGAGGACCGTGATTCTTCGGTGGCTTCCGTGGTTAAGCGAGTTAAAGAGGAACGAAGTTGAATTCAAATCGAAGGGCAACAAAAAGCAATTCGAGCATCAACGGCAAGTTCTTGATTGTTTGACTGAGGCTCAACATTCCCTGGCCAGCTCTAAGTACGAAAAGGCAAAGAAAGCTATCGAAGAAGGTATAAACCTGACTGAAAAGCGTATTAAAGCAATTAAGTTGGCCGACAGGAGCGAGCTTGGCTGGTCGACAGTCTGCGAATATTTATTGGACGATTTGGCGTCGAATTCAGAGGACGGAAAGCGTATTTTTCGTTCGGAGAGGCGTGCTGAGCGTCGCTCTAAACAAGCAGATCTGCTTCAACGAGTGGGCTTCATCCGAGGAACCCGGTTAGCAGGATTGGTTCTTGCTATAAGTTAAGTATTCATTTATTTTTTCAGTCTTTTTATTTTTATTCGCTTGTTTTTCCTATGCTTTTGCCCACTTACTTTTCTGCTTTGTTTACTTCTCGCAGTGCTGGTTACCGCGGCACACTGTATTATTCGCCATATTGTTCTTGTATCTTGTTGTTTCAATGGTACGGCCGGTTAATAGCACAGAATAGCATAATATGTGCGATACGCAGTTTAGCGTATATTTGTAT